ATTTTCGAGTAAGATGACGGTTCCCAGAGAAAATTTCCGAGCCTCTCTGCTGCCTACTGACGACAGCTAGGGAGGAATGCGGTTAATGAACTGGGAACGAACTTCGATGAAACAAAGATGAAGCTCAGATGTTTGCAGAGGACTACGAAGCGCCGAGCCAGTGAACAAACACAGAGTGAGGCCGAGTTCCGGAAATCGATAAAAGCTGCCGGGGAGGGCAGGCGCCGTTGGGGGCTTTCGAGGTTCGGCAGCAGAGCAAAGCTGCCGCCTGCTTACAACTACTTCCAACCCCATTATCAACCCAAAAAGGAACTTTTTCGGAGGTATTCGGAGAGTCTTTTGAGGAAAATAGTCACTCAACGCTTAAAATCTGAAGTGCTACTAATCTGCTGGTTTTGCCGAGGAATTTTAGCATGAAGGCCGATGAAAAGATAAAATTTATATTTTTGATACTGATTAATCAAATTATTTTTCTTCGTGGTTCAGGCATTGGGCTTCCATATCAGGCGATTTTGCGTTTTAAGTGATTACATGAGTTATACAAAAATTCACTGGTACCAGATGATGTTCAAATTGGTGTTTTTACCTCCCAGACATCTTAAAGTCAACTAAGAAAAAGGCAAAAGACAATGAGACAGAAACGCACCCACCAAGCAATATAAAATTTCAACCAAAATGTAAGAATTTAAATGACAGTAATCATCGGGGTCTTATCTCTGGACTATAAAGGCTTATGTTTCTGCGATTACCCGAGCTATCTTTTTCTACTTAAGCTCCAATTCGATTCAGTAAAGACACTCGAAGGATGCATGGCTTTGGAAAGATATGGGGGTCCTGAGAGGAAACCAAATCTTGGCAGATCTGAAACGGACTATTCCGCCCTGGAAGGTGGAGGATTCACAAGACCATAGGCTCTACCAAAGTTGTAAACATGGGAACGTTGCGATCTTCAGGAGCTCAATAATTCTGATCAGAAAGGTTTGCCGTCTACAATGATGTAAATATCCGAGGCAAAGAAACCTCCAGATTGGATTGGTTCTAAGAAATTCTAGCAAAACAGACAACAGAAGCTTTCCAACGGTAACAGCAATGTTTTGTATCGATAAAGGGTAATATAAAATTGATAATCAGCCGTAATCAGCTTTTAAAATCGATTAATGGCATTAGTGCAAAACGTTCCTGATATCCTAACAGTTTATCACTTCATGTCGTCAGAACGAAAGCGTTTCGTTTTTGTGGCTTTGTAACGTCTCTATCACCGACATAATTGATTTCTTCTTCTCATTACTTTATTATTATACTTTAGTATCAAAAAGAGAATCATTCGAGAGTAATCTATAATTTTCATAATCCCCTTGATCTTCTCTTCACAATACTATTCACAGAACAAGCACAGCTTAAAGACTTATTTTGTAGCCCAACTTTGATGTTCGTAATAATATTTGGTAACTGGTAATAGTTGATGATAATAACAGATAAAAGCAGAAAAGAACAAAACCTCCCAGCACCGACCAACATCCTTTGAGAGATGCGCCCTGCATTCGAACCCGTTAGAAATCATGGTGGCGTTTCAAATTCTAGTACCAATTAAACTACCCAGGAAGGATGAGAGGCTTTCTTTTCCATAGCGAGATCGGATCGATTCTGGATTCAACCCGATTGGGGATTCAACTTCAATCGTTTCATTTGTCCCACACCACCCCCTCTAAAGCAATATCTGGGGTTGCTGCTACTATTATAAACAGGGCGTTAGGGCCAGAAATGCGCTCCGCACTACCAAACCTTCAACCTTTTCAAGTCGAGTTAGTAGATCTGTAACTTCTACAACAGCCGCTCTCACCTGACCATTAGTATATGTAGGCAATGTAGCAATACTACCCGGGAAAGTCAGATGTGTGGCTCATCCGTAACCAGGTTGAATCATGACGGAAATTCCATTTATTCCGTCTTGAATTATCCAAAATACTGGCAGAATAGCCCTATTGAAGATACGAAAAAGTGTCTTTGCTGAGGTTCCTCATGTCAGCATGTCCTTTCTTATCAGACCGATACAGATGACGAAGTGCAAAAAAACCTGAGGACATATGTTTAAGGAATGTTGCAGCTTTCTGCTTATTGTTGGTGAAAGTTGGTCATCTCCAACTGTAAGCTCCAAGAATCCTTGCATTCTGGAACTCGTGTCATTGCGACATTAACCACACCCAATTTTGATCAGATGCAGCTCATAAAGGGGACAACACAAATTCTTGAAGTTAAGGAAGTTTTTTGAACCTAACAGCATGTTTAAGGTCTAACCTTCACTAACAGAAGCTTGAGATCCTTATAATACCAAAATCAGAAGCTCTAGAGAGCGCGCAATGGTCAAGTCATGGACGGACAGCCACCCATTGTGATAAAATCCTGAATCAATTTCCTTTTCTCCTTTTGAACGGGATCAAAATGGGGAGCATTAACTGCGTTGCTTTGTTCCATATGCTTCAACACCCGGAAACACACCCACATGCTTAACGGCATACCAAGGAAGCATCTTTCAGCCTTGGAGAAGGATATCATATTTCAAAAAGGTAGAGGCAATAATTAAAGCTATGACTTTTCACCAATATGTATGGTTATTTGCTTCAGCCTTTCCAAGATTCTAAACCTTATAGGGCTAACGTTTCGGCGAGTTCGCCTTCGTCAGAGCCTAAAAAGT